GGATACATAGCCTGAACTGGCCAGCTCCTGTAACCAGGCAAGCCTTCTAGTGGAGGGATTGAGACACCAAACAGCCACACAACCTTTGACCTACAGTCTGTCCTGCCTATGGGATGTGTTGGGTTAAGGGTGGAGCAGAGATTATGGGAGTGGCCAACCAATGACTAGTCTAGCCTGAGACCGATGCCAAGAAAGTGAGCCCACCCCTGATACTACCTGGTGTGCTAGGCCCCAGAGGCTGGATAGCCTAGAGACCTAGCACAGAACCAAACATGATTGGAGAAAAAAAATGTCATTGTAATGATGCCTAACCATATTCTGCTATACTCATAGATTGGTGACTACCCCAGTTGTCATCAGAGAGCCTTCATCTAATAACTGATGGAAACAGATGCAGAGATCCACAGCCAAACATTAAGCTGAGCTCATGGAATCCTGCTGAAGACAGAGAGGAATTGTTCAAGCCAGAAGGGTCAAGGTCATCACAAGAAAATCCATAGAATCATATGAGCTCACATAGCCTGAACCAACAACCTCTGACCTAGGCCTTCTACATATATGTGACAGTTGTATGGCTAGGTCTATTTGTGGGACTCTTAACAGTAGGAACAGGGACTGTCCCTAATGCTTTGGCTGGCTTTTGGGACCCTATTCCTCATACTGGGTTGCCTTGCCCAGCCTTAATACAAGGGGAGGTGCTTAGTCTTACTGCAACTTGATATGCCATGCTTTGTTGATACCCATGAAAGGCCAGCCCCTTTCTGAATAGAAACAGGAGTAGATTAGAGGGGGTTGGGTGTTAGGGAAAGGGAATGGGAGGAGAGGAAGGAGAAAACTGCAGTCAGGATGTAAAATAAATAAATAATAAAACATCCAAGAGAGAATGTTTTCCTTAGGACATGGAATGGTCATGTATGAGATATATCAGAACTGTATGTATGCTGTAACCTCTGTGGACATTTGTCTGAATTCTCACCTGCAAGTAAATGGAAGAATTGAGCTAGGTCACTAGAGGATGTTTAGGTTTAGTGGTACATATGGCAGGGTCTCTGGGGTTGAGGGAAATACAGATAATAAATAAATAAATTAATTAATTAAAACATGATGGAAGGGGAAAAAAAGAAAGAAAACAGGAATGATCAAGATTAATGGAGCTCCCAGGCCCACAGCTGGGCCTTGATTTGGCCCACCCTAACATCTACCCCATCTAGGACCTGCTGGAGTGAATGAAGGTACTGGTCCTGCAGAACATAAACAATACCTGCAAGATCTCTAAGTCTCGAAGTAGCCATGGGATATCACAAAGGAGTTTTGTTGAGAATCCACTGAGTTGATGGGGTACCAGAAACCAAAGTCCTTGAGTCAGACAATGATGACTCGTTGCAGTGAACATTTTCTAGTAAAGGTGGTAGGATAAAAGGGTGTACTGAATGACACACAAGGCTCATACTGTTTTGTTTTGGTTTGGTTTGATTTTTTAAATTTATTTTTGGGGGCTCTGTAGGGGTGAGGGGAGGATATGGGGGGGCCTGGGAGGTAAGTGGAATTGGGGTACATGATGTGAAATTCCCAAAGATTCAATAAAGAAATTATGTTTAAAAAAATTAATGGAGCTTTAACTGAGTCCACTTTGCTATGATACTCCAAGACCTCAAGAATCAACATACTTCAGAATGCACCAGACAGATCTGATAAAACAATGTACCACAGACTTTGATTTGTTAAATACTACCACTCCCTTGCCCTCTGGCTCCAAACATACCCCCTAAAGTAGCACAGGCAGGGAAGACTTGCCTATTTGGGAAGAATTCCTAACACTTTTCCAGGATAGAATTCTGGCTAGTCCAAAATGGGCCCTTCTTTTAAGGGCTGTGAGAAAGTAGACATTGCAACTTTATTTACTATCAACAGTCCTTATTTGTAACAAATTCTTCTCTATGAACTTCACAGTTTGAAGGCAGGACGAATTCCAATTCCTTCAATTTGTAGCAGCTTGGCCAGTATTCCCCTGTTGGTGGAGCCAATCCCAGGACTCCATCTGGCATCATAGTGGCAGGTCCTGTAGGAGTAGGGGTTCCAGTTGGCACAGGAGCAGGGGGCATGGTGTCTCTATTGTTTATGGCCATAACACCTCCCATAGCCATTTGGCCCATCCGTGTTTTATTCTCTCACATTAGGGAAGTTTCCCTTGAATCCTTCCTTTTGTCACTGCATGATTTCTTCTTGTTGCCACCACTTTTCTTCCTCAAGGTGCCTGCACTCAAGTTTCTGCCTGAGCTCTAATTTCTTCTGTTTTTGAACCTCTTGGTTATGCAGGTCCTCCATTCCCTGAAGATCTTTTTGACACCTCATCAAATCCTGCCTTATTAGTATAACCTGGTGTTTGTGGCCAGCTGCCTCCATCTCCATCTGTAGCTTCTTAGGCGACTCCCTGATGTTTGGGTGCATTTGATCCTGCTGTTGCTTCTCCATCTCAATGAGTGTGTCTTCCAGGGGGTGACACTGTGCAAATCTGGGTGGCTCGCTCTTTATGAAATTGCTGGGGGATTCTTTTGTTGTGTTTTCTGTTTATTTGTTTGTTTTATAACCAGCTTCTCTGTAAGTCGCTCTTCATCATCTAACTAACTGGTCCACAGGTCCCACAGTTTCCCTGAGAACTCAACAGTGCTTTTCCCTGTGGGCCTTCCACAGTCAACCACAATGACCACCGCCCTCTCCACCTGGCCAAATACAGAAAAGATTTCTTTCAGTAGTTCATTGGATATGTACTGAGGAAGGTTGAGGACTGTAAGGGATTCACTAAAACAGACAAAGCACATGCACAGTTGCTTTCCACAGAGTGGCATATTGTCGAGCTACACTGTGACAATTTCTGCTAAAGGGTCATATTTCCAAGCAAATAAAGGCAAAGCCTTTATCCTTAAGAACAAAAACTTCGCCTGCTTTCCCATAGTTCTCAAAGTTTCCTCAGTTCATCCTCAGTGACATCAGGGGAAGATTGCCCACAAAAAGATGACTATGCAGGATGAAGATCTCCTCTCCTGGTTTCCTAAAATTTTACAGGTCAATAGTTAAGCTTCATTCTGCCTGGTCTGCTGTCCATTTGCAGGTATTGGTGGGCTGCTGCTGTTGCTGCTGGTGGTTATAATGATGATACTACCATGGAATATGGTTCTGATTCTCCAAATTCAAGGTTTTATTGTTCTACATTTTTGCACTCTTGATTTTGATTTGAACACAGCAAAGTGTCTGTCTCCCAGTCCTCTCTAACCTTGACTTCCAAAGCTCTAGTTGTTTTTCTTTATTATGATTTAAAATCATAAGTAGGTGTTGAATTTTATCAAATGCTTGTAACTCAGCTGAGAATCCTCTAGTTTTTCCCATTGTGGTAAAAACAACAACAAAAACAACAAACAAACATGCAAACAAAAAACATTCACCTGGGTGATCCTGCACCAAACTCAGCTATCACCCTTGTTTTCTTCTTTCTTTCCATCTGACATCTAATACTTTTGGCTTAATTTTGAATTTACATCTTTAATACACAACTTATAATTCAACTGATACTGCCCTAGTTAAAGCTACCATCATCTCTCTCTTCAACTGCTGCCAGAACCTCTGGACTGGCCTCTTGGTCTTAGTACTAGTGTCTAACACAGCAAGTTTTCCATTCTCTACCTGCAACATAGATTTCATGATGTCAGCTACTGTTTCAAATATCTATCAAGGGCTTCCCATCTCAAAATACTCTCCCAGTTCTCTTGATGGTCCAGGCTACCTCTCTTACCTCTCTCTAGTCACACTGGCCTCCTTGGTAAGTCAGGCAAAGTCTGTCATTAGGGTCTTTAACTTGCCTAGAATGTTTTTCCCAGTTACCCACACTGTGGGATAACATGAGGCAGAAAGCCAGAGGTTATCTGCAATCCTTGGCTCTACCAGTTGAGCGATCAAAGGAGAATACCAGAGGATATGTAAATAGCACACATTTCACCCTTAGCTTATCTATTTGAAAGTCTTTATTTCTATGTAAAAATCTGAGTTCTACTTACTTGTATGTTTAGTATGACTCTTCTTACTAGGATTTTAGTTTGTTTCCTTGTTCAATACTAAAACAGTGCCTAGGAAATAAATGAATGGAGATGGGAGCCAAATTTGAATCTTGTTGAGCATATGTTTAGCACAAGGAGCATTAGATGATGACATATCAAAGTAAGGTTGCTTTGACACTCCTACCTGATATCCTATTACCTAAACCTTCCCTCATACTGTTAAATTGAGATTGCTGGGTCGCAGGTTCCAAATTATGTGTTCAAAGCAGTGCTGCTTCCTTTGGGATCGCTGCCTTTCATACATACTTCCATGTAAGTATCTGATCCAACAATGACAGATGTCATATGGGCTTGGCAATTGCCATCTTCCCAGCATAGAAGTCTACAAAACTCAGGGTTTGATATGTTGAGCTTACTGCAGGCTCTAAGAGTGTGACACTTGGAAATTAAGTGGAATAATACAATGCGTAGGCTCTTTAAATGAAACCCCTTTGCTTGGAACATAGGCTTCTCAGCAGGCAACTTTGCTGCTTCTACTGAAAATGATGATACTAAGAAAGTGCTGGCACAGTCAAATGTACCAGATGCGGTTGTGGACAGAGAGGGAACTGCTAGGCAGGGCGGCGCTAACAGGCACCAAGAGCCTAGGCTTTCTTAAGCCCTGGCATCCACAAGGGCCCCATTAATCCTTACCATTCAAATGCCGCCCACTAAACCATCCCCACTGTACACTAGCCGCCTCTTTTCTCCAAATGACAGTTCACCGCCACCAATCCGCAGCTGAATGGGATCTGCCCCCTTTTTCCTGGCCTAAAGAGACAGGAACTGCTGCCAATTGGAGGCGTCATTACTAAGGCTCCGCCACAGCCTGGAAGCCACAGCCAATGGAAGGTAGGCTTGACAAAGCGCCGGAGGAGGGGCGCGGGCGCGCAGGTGCAGCAGCGCGCAGGCTGGCCGAGAGGGCAGGACACGACGTCGACCGTGCGTGGTCCCGGCATCGGTTGCGCGCGCGCTCCCTCCTCTTGGAGAGAGGGCTGTGGTAAAAGCCGTTCGGAAAATGGCCGCCGCCGCTGCTGCCGCCGCCACCACCGCGCCGAGCGGAGGAGGAGGAGGCGAGGAGGAGAGACTGTGAGTGGGACCGCCAAGGCCGCGGGCGGGGACCCTTGCCGGGGGCGGAGGGTAGGGGCGGGACGTGGCGCGGGAGGGGCCCGCGGGTCGGGCGACAAGGCTGGCAGATGGCGTCCCTCCTCTCTACCCTCCCCCTCCCTCTGCCGCCTGTAGTGGCTTTCTCCTCCACTCGTCACCCGCAGTCGCGAGCGACCTTCCTCAGCGCGATCTCCCTGGAACCACCTTCGAATGACGCCCTCCCGCTGCCCGCCCCTTCTGTGTGCATCCTGGGCCTTGGCCGTGCGGGCACCCTTGTCGTCCGGGCTTCACGAGTTGGAGCTGTGCGCGCTCCTGCCCTTCTTGGGGCTTTGGGCCGTGGCAACGTCGCGCGCCCGCGGTCCCAGCCTCTCCCTGGATCGCGCTGTCCTCTCTCCCTTGCGCGCCCCCTCTCCCGTTACTCGGCCCCCCCAGCACACACTTACTGGCGCGCGTGCGCACTCCACCTCCCGTTGGGAGAGTGCGCCACAAGGGCTCCTGAGCGCTTACCCCCATCTCCGGGCTTTGCTTCCCCCTCCTCCTCACCCATTCCTTGACTTTTTGCCCCCACTGCAAGCGAGTCGGTCTTCCAGCTCCATTCCCCATTTGGCAGGAACAAGTAGGTGGGGGTTATTGTCCACCCACATAAAGGACTAGACATTATGTTCTTGGTCCCACAACTCATCATAAAAGATGGTTATAGTTCTCATCAGGAACCGTGGGCAGGGGACTGTATGTTCCTCAGCACCTGAAGCTCTTCCGTGAGACCGTGCCCTTAGGGTGCTCTGGTTCTTTGGGGGTGTTATGCTGTGGCTTCGGAATATGAGCGTCTTCCCACCCCACCCCCACCCCTCCTTCGACAGCGATCATCCAGTTACATAAGTGGAATGGGACATTGTATGTTACGGGCTCTCTTCGTCCTGGAGCGCTCAGGATCGCCATTACCAGATGGGGCAAGTTCATCGCATCGTTGTGACTCCTGTCGATTATATCTGAAAGTTCATTCTCTTTCTAGTTCGGTTGTGGTGAAATTATTTAAAATAAAACACAGGTGACTTTTATGTGGCAATGTTTCTGAGGATTTTGCACTGAAGATTTAAAGCCATTATGGAGTCTAAAAAGATTACTTTCACAACAAATATCCTATATGACATTGCTAAGTACGGACCCCTGAAGGACAAATCTTCCTAGTGAGTAACTTGTGTGTTCAGGTATAAGTTGATCACAGCAAAAATGGACTCCATCACAAAATTGATATTCCTGACTCATGGTCAGGCAGATAGGTGCTTCTGGTTATTTTTCCAGGAACACAAAAGGGCTGTGTTGAGCCATTTGCGTGTTGTTTCCAGTGTTTGGAATCACTACCCTAAACAGTGAGGCAATAAAATCAAAACAGGGTCATTGATGTTGATAGTGAAACATAAGGGACTAATTTATAGTGCTAGTTGGCTGAGATATTGTAAGACTCTCACAAGTTCTAGGTATCTTATTTTACTATATAAATGAAACCCATTTGGACATTGGTAGTAAAATTGTATTAATAGGTAATTATTACTGTAGAGGTTAATTTTTGGGTTCGTAGTTGGAATTGTCATGTGAGTCTCAGCAGTTTCAATTAATACCATGATTAAGCTGACCTTTTGGGTCCTTTGAAATATGCCGGATCTCTATAAAAAGATAAAGTCTGGATTGTTTAGGTCTTTGGGGAATTTCCACCAAGGATCTGGAAAAATACACTTATTTGTGGGCTTTTGGGGTTTTTGTTCGTTGCTTTTAACTTCAAATCTTATTCAAAATGCCTAGGAAACACTTGCTTTTATTTTTTACTTGGGTGTGTCACAATCGTAAAGAATCCAAACAGTTTAGAAGTACAAATGATATAAAATGAGTTGCTGCACATGACCCATTCAGGTCAGGGCAGCCAAGTGGCTGATAACCAGAGTGCATTCACTTTCACAAACACATCGAAGCCTTGCTTGTCAAAGATTCCAAGGTTTGTGCATTTCAGCCCGAGCTGAGTTGGACTCTTTAGTTTATTTTTATATTCTGCAACATGTTTGCTTCCTTCAGGTGCCTTTCCAGTTAGCTATTTGTTGTAATCCTAGATCTCTAAACAGTGTAACTTCTAGAATACAGTTTCTTTTCAAAGTGGCTGGTGACATCTGAACTTAGTGTGTCCTGAGAGTTGAGTTAATATGTCTTGAGAGTTTGAAGGAAATATGGCTTTCTTGTTAATGTTGATCTATTGCATATTCCTATTTCCTTTCCATGAATACTTTAAAATTCCAGTAGCAGATATTTGTTTCACTTAGGAAGAAAGCATTATATAGTGTCAGTTGTACTCTGAGAATTTTTTTTTAATTTCTTTTTTGTTGTTGTTGTTATTGTTGTAATGGTGGTCAAACCCAGGACCTTGTGCATGCTAGGCAATCACCCCTCAACTGAACTATATTCCTATCTTTCTGCTCTTTCTTTCATGCTGTTTAAATACTGAGGTACATCTGGGACACTGCATAGACTACAAAGATTTTGGGAGGTTATGATCCATTTTTTTCAATCTGTGTTTATATTTTCCAGATAGAGTTGTACCCTCTGCCTGATCTGCTTCTATGAGGCCTAATCTACTGGGGGCAGGGAGGCAAAGCTATGGAGTTTGAAAGAAAAATCGACTACAGTCCCATGTGCCAGTGCCCCAGCTCCACCCAAGCACTCCTGAGAAGTTTGTTTCTTTAACCTAGAATAAAGAGCAGCAGTGGTAAACTTGTTAGCTTGTTTGCATGGTAAACTATGTATCCTGGAACCTTTCATCATTCCTAAAGGTGACTGTCAGTGAGAATCTTTTAATTGGTTAAGAGCATTTTATCACCAGGTTGTCTGAGTTACCTTTGGGAAACAGAGAATCGTGGACAGTGACATTTGTAGTTACCAGTATTTTAAGCACAGTCTAGACTGGAGAATTGGGAATATGGCAAAATACCTCATTTTCATCATCTGCTCTGGTAACATCTGTGCAGACCAGGCCATGTGGCTGAGGTAAACAATCTCTTTTTGAGTAAAGACCACTAGTGTTCTTCCAAGGGAAGGACATAGATCTTAGTGCCCATTACAGCCTTTTATAGTCACTTTGCTGTTGTCCAATCAGAGCACTATACCTACTCATTTCAGGGAGGACCAATGTCAGTAGTTCCCTCCATCTGGGGCTTGCTTATACAGAAGGTGTATGCGCTCTTCTGTTTTCTACAATTTTCTGCTTTTCTCTTCCAAGGAACATATTCTGTTGAAAGTTTGATTTGTGTGTGATGGCTTAAATACTTTATTAGACCACTTTCATGGTAGATATAATGTGTGAGATGACTGAGTGGTAGCAAGACTCTGAAAGAAGGCAGACATGCCTATTCCCATGTTAAAGGGGACAGTGTGACCAGAGTAAATATGGCCTTTTTACCTTCTTCTAGGGACTCTGCTAGTATGTGGATGTCTGCTCACCTAGCGTAACTCTTTGCCAGTACTATGGATGTCTGGACTCTTGTTATTGGCCAAGTCTTAGTAAAAGTGTGCTTATCTCCTTTTCCTAAAAACTGGAGGTATTAAAGCATGAGCATTTTTGTTTGATTTTCACCTAACTGTACTCATGTTTAACTTTTTCCCCTGTGAAATCTTGACTTAATTAATGATCTCAAGCTTTTTAAGAGCTTAGAATAAAACTTAGTCAGTAATATAGTGTTTACTTTGCACATGCAGGGCATGGATTTCAGTTCTAGTACTACAAAAAATAAAACAATAAAACTGCATGTAGGTAAAACTGTGGTCTTCAGAACTTGTGGCTTTGCAGGCCCTCCTAAACAAGGTATTGGTTTGATTTTTATTAGGCAGGTATCCAAAAAAATATTAACTTTGGGATTTTAAAGTGTTCTATGACTTAATTCTATGACTTTAGGAAATTATGGGAATTAAGAGGTTTTATTGAGTCTTAAAAGATAACTGTAGGCATCATCTAGGGAACTGGCAGTCAGCTGCCAAAGACTTGGTTACTGTTGCCCTTCATCTGGATTTGACTCCATGAGTGACTATAATAGTCTTAAACTGTATAATGTAAGCTTTTCTTTTAGTCTAAAGATAAAAAAGTATTGTTGCTTGGAGAGCCAGGTATCTGAAATTACATGATATGGAACAATTTAGGTTTTGAACAAGGAACAATGGTTATCTTGATGGCAATATCTTTATTTGAACATGTGTTCAAAAACAAGAAAGATCTGTTTGAAGACGTCTGAACTATATAACAGAACTGCCCTAAAAAGTAACAAAGGGCCAGGCAATGGTGGCACATGCCATTAATCCCAGCACTCAGGAGGCGGAGGCAGATGCAGGCGGATCTCTGAGTTCGAGGCCAGCCTGGTCTACTGAGCTAGTTCCAGGACAGGCTCCAAAGCTACAGAGAAACCCTATCCTGACAAACCAAACTCCAAAACACAACAACAACAAAAAAGTAACAAGGGCTGGAGAGATGGATGGCTCAGTGGTTAAGAACACTGGCTCCTCTTCTAGAAGACCTAGGTTCAATTTCTACTACCTTCATAGAGGCTCACAGTGGTCTATAACTCCAATCCCAAATCTGATGGCATCCTTTGGCTTCAGCAGGCACTGCATGCAGGTGTTGCACAGACATGCATTCAGATAAATGCTCATACATGTAAAATAACAAATACAATCTAAAAAAATCAAGAAAATAACAAAAAAGTCAAAAGACCCATAAACTCAATGTATTATAGATTTACTGCTTTGAGAGGCTTACACTAATTGGTTAGAGATGGACTTCTGTATTTTGAATGATGGCTTTGGCTCTCCTGGTGCTTTTTGTCTTTTATCTCAAGGTGAAAGCCCTTTTGTGTGATGTTAGAGCAGTTCCTTGCAGCTTTGACTGCTGGAAGCAGAAGGGGAACTTGGCTTCTGGATTTGGTGTGTTCTTTTTGAGGTGATGTTTTGAT